ATACAAGTTTCACTTTTTAAATGGAATTACTGAAATAAATCTACTTTTTCATGATATTCTAATTTTATGACCAGCACCTGTACAACAAAGCCTTTTATCAAACGTGCTAGATTAGTAAATGTATATACATTTTTGTTTTTGTTATAAAAATAATTTATTTAAATTTATTTTAAAACAGACTTTTCCCATGAAGCTTTACCAAAGTCATAAATTAGTCAGCGTTAAACCAAATTATACAAAAAATAAGTAAAAATAAAAAAATTCTGTGAGGTTTTGTTTTTACAGTTAAAGAGATGAAACTACTGATATTTTAATCTGAGCTGACCACTAAACTTGATAAAGATCATAAACCGAGGGGAATAAAATAAAATAAAAACAAACAAGAGGTGTCGTTTAAAAATAAATGTATTGTCTGAAATAAAGTTTGTACAAAATATAAGTAGATGAATTATCAAAAGATCAGCTGTAGTGTCACTGAATCATTTACAGAAACATCATCAACTAAACCCACATTAGTGATTAACCAAAAGCCAGACAAACACCAGAACATTTGTTAGTGTACAAAAACAATACAGATACTTTTACAGGCTTTACACAGTCTACTGTACCATGATTTAAAACAATCTGACAAACACTGCATTCAGAGTGTTATTTCATCTTTAACAGTGTCTTGGTTTAAACTTTGGCATTATTCATTTTTTGCAAAAAGAGCAGAGCTGCTCAATAAGGAGGCAATTAAAAAAACATTTCTGAATATAGTCAGCCTACGTAGGTCTACTTTGGTCGAATAAAATGACTGAAAGACAAAAAAAATGTTCCCAAAAGCTCTTCAAGAATGCTTTGATGTGTCAAAAAGCTGCTAAATGGGAATTAAATGATAACGTCTTAAACGCAATAACAAATTGTTCATCTGAAAACTCTTTTTTTTAGTTTGCCAGTGTTCAGAAAAATCACAACAAAATTGCAAACAGTATATAACAATTTTGAGATTTAGATTTTTTTAAATAGAATTCCCACGTTGAAATCTTGCTCCAGGGTTCCCCACCCTTTTTTCAGGCATTTAAACTTTTCGATTATGTTAAACTATATGCTGACACATTCAAACTTCAGATGTGTGTCATGTAAATTGGAGGTGACTTCCTCCTGTCTGTCATTAACGTAGTTAGAAAAAGGCACCAGTGCAAGCTTCATGTGAATCTGTGGACATCTTTAGTGGACATGACAGCATTGAGTTTTTCTACATCATGTTAGTGTTTGTAGGTGAAGCATCCCGGTCTGGGGTTTTGGCCCTTTGATTGACTGACGACATCTTCCAGTGACTTCCTGGTTATCAGCAGTCGAACAACATCCTCCTTCTGCTTGGTTAGCTTCTTACGAGCCTGATCGTGAGTCACCATGGTCATATCCCAACCGTTCACCTGCCAGGAAGAAGAACTTCCTCAAATTTCAGCCACAGGTGAGCTTGAGCACGACTCTTTCAGGAGCAAACAGTGCCATCTTGTGGATTTATTGTTTAAAAAAAAAAAGAAAGAAAAACACACACCTGCATTATTTTGTCTCCCATCATCAAACCAGCCACTTCAGCTGGTCCTCCTGGGCTTATCCTGGTCACATAGATGCCCTTTGAAGAGGACAAACACACTTAAAAATTCATGCAGGTGCAGAACTATACGGAGGGTTTTATTGAAGATAATCTACAAATATAAAAACAAAACAAATGCTTAATAATAGGACTAAGTTGAATTGTAGCATAAAAGAAAAGAAGCACAGACACCATGTGTCCACAGACTGTCAAAAATAATCACAACATATTTGTGCTACAAACAAATCACAATTCTAGTTAATCGTGTCATTTTTTTCCTGTTTAAGCAGGGTTTCTGCAGAAATCAGACAATTAATGTGAAATGAATAACCTGTTTAATGGCAATGAAAGTGAATGTATAAACTATTACACTTTTTTATTTTAAGTAAGTAAACTTTATGTTGCATCTTTCACACACAAACATCAAAGGGCTTAACAGAGAGCAATTTACTAAAAACAATAAAAAATTAACTAAAAGCCTGTCTAAATTAAAATGTCATAAGATGTTTCTTAAAAGAGTGGGTGGAGTCTGAGCAGCAAAGTGACCAGCACCACCTGAAATGATCGGCCTCCACAGGTTTTATAATGGGTTCAAGGCACCATCAGCAGTGTTTGATTTGAAGACCTCAAAGTCCTGGATGGACAGAGAGGCTAATGCTCTAAAGATTAAAACCAAAATTTAAAAATGGCTTCTGAAATGCATAGAGAGCACATAGTGGCCAGAAAATTTATTGAAGAAAATGAAGTCATGTTCCTTTAGTTCACAAGCTTTTACTTTTTTTTCTATAACTATGTTTTAACTAAATGCAAAGTTGCTGTGTGTCATGGATTTTCCCCTCGTTATAAATCTGTTTGTTTAATCCTGTAGCCCACCTAGTTGCACAGATCACCACTTCAGTGAGATTTACAGTAAAAAAAGTCTGAGAGCTCTCATGGTAGCTAATCATCCATACATTATCTTTTACCTGCTTCTTCCTTAGTCTATTCAGCCCAAGATTAAACTTTTTTTAAAGCAAACATTGCAAAATCATTCTTCATCCCGACCATTGATGGGCTTCAGCTATGTGCTAAATTTCTTGTATTTGACTCCCTTTCTGAAATTTGCATTAACACATTTTGTCTCAGATTCTACAGTTTTCGTGTTTTCCTTCCAACGCCTGGTATTCTGATAACAGACGGAACAGAAACATATTATTAAAGAATGGTTCTGTGTGTACCGGTACATTACAGCAATAGTTGATAGACAAAATCCTCTAATGAGCAAGTCCAGCTGAGGGATTTCCAAAATCCTTAAAACTACTAAAAAAAAGTTAAAGCCACTGAGATTCTAACTTAATGTTTTTTTATTGCTAAATATGCTAATTCATTTAAGAACTTAATACTTTTTAATGTGCCCCACATTTGTGGCCAAAGTGGTTTTGTACAACAAAACCAAGTAATATTTCTGATTCAACAGATATTATGACGAAGTGGAACAGCGAAGGAAAATTTTTCTATGAATACTTTAAACTTATAGTGATTAAATAACTCAAAAATCGGAGAATATTCATGAAAGCATCACTAGCTTTGTTTACATGCGCAAAATAGGAGGGTTTCACGTGACGTCACGATGCAGTGCCGCTAGAGCGCGAAGTTCGGATGGAGGTGGACAGTGAAAAGGTGGAGGATCTGCTATCTGAAAAAATGCCCATATCTTGTGTAGTTTACGAGTGCTCCAATCATTCTAACTGAATTAATAATAAATAATTATACACTGATTAAATTATACATTAAATTAAATAAAATTATGGCTCTTTTTATTAATGTTCGTCATATTTGAAGCACGTTGCAGCAGGTGGATGCAAAATAGGGCTGATTCACGGGGGAAAAAACACCTCAAACCACCCTCTGGTGTCACCCCCACCCCGTCGAACAAACCTAAACCCCCCAAAGTCCTTTCTGACTGAAGTGTGAAAATATTAGACAAGCAGCAAAACATCTACAGGAGGATAAAAATAAAAAGAGGCGAAAGTTGAATGAAGTTCGGCTGCGATGGAGAGACAGCGCGATCGGAAGTCAGCAATGAGATATCCGAAATGTATTAAATTTATTATATTTGTATAACTATATTTCATAGTTAGGGTGAAGTTTAGTTAGTCATTTAATGTCTTTGATGCAAAAAAAAGGCGATGAACGTGGAGCTCCAGTCCAGCTGCGGTCAGGTGGACCGAGTCGGACCGAGCCGCAGTTTGAGAGAGGAGCTGAAAGGCAGAGATGGAGGAAAAACAGTCGGAGACAGAGTGAGGACTTTGATGAGGAAGTAGGTGATTCACTATTTGATTATAAGAGGGAAGAGAAGAAGATCGAGCACCGAGCGGACTCTACAGTCCTGTTACCGGTCTGCCGGGGCAAACTGGGCAGCGCTAACTGGATGCTAACTACACCGAACAGCTGACGAAAGCATGTGAACAACGGAAGTGTAGAACTTTTTATTCAGCGGGTGGATCCACAACCTCGGTACCAAACAGCTCCACGATGATAATCGTTTGTTTTTTGCCAGGGTGAGTGTTTTTTCTGATATTGTTTTATATGTTACGATCATGCTAACAGTAGCCGCTAACGTCAACAAACATCCAGCACCTAACGACACAGAACTAGGGCAGCCTAAAGTCCAGATGAGGTCCACATAAAACTACCAGTAACTTAATACTCACTACTAAATAAACAATCATTATAAACATAACTTCTAAAACAAGTTAGCAGCTAACTGATGTAGTGGCCGCTGCCTGCAGACACCGGTATTCTGCTCCTCCTGACCGCAGACGGTTTAAAATCCACTTTTTACGTTGTCGTTCTGTGAGCTTTCTACATTTTGCATCTTTGTGTCTGATAATCAGTGTTATCATATGTGGTTATAGGGTTGGGCAGAATAATGTGGAATTATTCATCAGATAAACCTTTGCTGGTTATTATTTGGCACTTGGTGATGTAAGACGTGTGTGGTACCGACAGCCTCAGAAAATCTTTAGGTTCTGTCGAAAACTCATTCATCTTCATCATCCGAGTCATGTCTGAAATATTTGTGAACAAATTCTTGTTATTTATCTTGAAATAGGACCTAAATCCATACATATAAACTCTCTACAGTAGATTCCTCTATAGACATTTTAACCCCTGCCCTCCAGTGGAGATCGCTCCGCCTTTGAAACCACGTGACTGAAACCCAGCTATTCTTTGATCGGATTGAAATGTATTCGGATTAAATAATCTGAATGTACCGTTTACATGCGCACAGTCTGATCATGACGAGTGTTTACATACACCAGGTTTTTATTCTGAATAGAAGCACTGACATGCGCAGTTGCTAACTTTCCCTTAAAAACCACAGAAAAAAGTTCTACTTTCATCATGAAGATAAACAAACAGCCTCTGAGAGCTCAGAATGGACCTGCAACAGGTTTTAATAACGGTGGAGACGTTACTGCACTCCCTGGTTCAGCTGCAGGGGACGCGCTGACCTTTTTTTTTTTTTTTTTGCAAAGCGGCGCAGGCTGTGTGTCTTCGTTCTTTATTGAATGAGAAAACAGGAGGAAAAGTTCTGTCTGCTGCAAACCGGTGGATGAAAGTCAGAAGACATGCAGTCAGGTCAGTTTTCCACAATCAGAATAAGATGATCAGATTAAGTGTTTACATGCACGTCGTTCAGATTATCAATCGGCATAAATCACCTCTCTCATTCCGATTACAAATTCATTCGGATCGAGCTGAATCGGGTCAGAATAATCCGAGTGGTGTGTTTATATGACGCATTTTTATTCCGAATGGCCGTTTAATCAGACTACTTATGTCCATGTAAACGTAGCTATTGAAGATTATAAAAATAAAACCTAAATAAAAAGTATTTCTATCTCCATTAAACCTTGAGTATATGGAAAGTCATTATTTACATACTGATATCAGAACTACAAGCTTTTTTTCTCTTTAAAATCAAACCACAATAAGACATCTGATTACTTTAACAGAATCTCTTGAAAAGAATGTCTGAACGTGTAAAAGTCAAACTGTAAACTATTTTCATCTTTCACAGATGACAAGACAAATTATGCTTGTTTTTTTGTGATCATCAAGTTAGAACTGTACATCATCCTGTTCTATGACACCTGAGTATGGTTTGAACTCACCTGAGGACATTATGTTTTGTCCTGTTTATTTTTGTTTTTGTTTTGTTTTGTTTTTTTACACCAAACACAACTGCCAGATCGTACTTCATATCTTGAGTTTTGTTCCTCAACTATGAGACTTTTCCTTTGCATATATTAACTGAATCCTTTAAGAGAATACTAAATATAAATATAGATAATATATTTGTTTTTGAGCATTTCAGGATTAACAGTTTAAAATGTGTGTGGGAATAAAGATCAAGTGAAGTAAGACTTTCTCACCCATGATTTAAAATTGTGCAACAATAATATTATACTAAAACAGTAAACCCTGTCAATTATAATAATACAATGAGATATAGATTTACAGACATAATTATGTTTGTTTTCATAACATGTTATATTACCTTATCTGTCTTATCTTCAGAGAAAGGGTTCTGTCCAGGGTCCTGGTCTATACCTCCTCCAATGCTGAAGCCCAGAATCAGGTTCTCTCCTTGCCGCAACTTCTGGATTTCAATTCGTTGCTGTTTAACAGAAAAACAGTCCAAAATCAGATCCCCACAAGTATCTTCTTTATGACAAAAAGTGGTCAGGATGTGTTGGCTTTATTTCCAGCTTTTAAAGATTTGTTAGAAAGCTGAACAACATGCCCGTTGCCACAACCTACTGTCAGCCAAAGGGCCTGTTCAGACTTGGAGCTAACTGCCAAACATCGCTGTGAACACACTCAGACAAGTTCTGGTTCTGGCTGATATTAAAGGGAAAAAACTGGGCTGGGCAGTGCAGCATGAAACATTTACCTCCCTATGTAGTCTAATGATGAAAGAGAATATGTCAAATAGTTTCATTTATGAACAGATTTCAGGAAGAAAGGACCTCATGAATGAGCTGCTTGACTTTCACAACCCATCCACTTGACAGTGACAAGCAGCTGCTGTGTCACAACAGCAGACAAGTCTGACTGTAGGACTCCTTCAAACACAAAGGCTGTCTGTGTGTTAGAGATGATGATGAGTCTCTGATACAACGAAGTCTAACGATGACTTCAACAAAGATGTCAGCCGGTTAGTGAGTCAGGATTTCCAAACAAGCTTCTCTTCTCCCTTAAGCCTTAAAAACTACAAACAGATCTACGGATTAACAGTGAAGATTAAAACCTGCATGGAGATTTTAAAGTTTGACTAAAGCAGTTGTTTTGTTAAAATTTTGTTTGCATTTGTATTTCCTACCAAATAAACCAAAACTTCTTTACGTTTTGATTTCCTGCAAATGAAAGATTGCTGCTTGGTTTTATGGCAAACCATAAACCTTTGGTGCTGCTGCTTAGATTAACAGTCACTTTGTTTAGGTTTTCTGCCATGATATGGACTAAAATGACAAACGATATCAAAATTAAAACACAATAAGAAGAACAGCCCTGAAGTCATCATAGCCCATACTGATAGTACATGGCTGAATCACTAGCAGATTGGAAAATTCACTTTTTCCATGTCAAACATAAAAAAAACAGGTAAACTAACAACTAATCATCTGTGAACAGATTATACAGTAAAATGACAAAACACCAAAGATGTTTTTTTTTTGTATTTAAAAAAAGGATTTACTTACTTAGCAGGAAGCTTCATTCACACACCTTAGGAGGTCACGCCCCGTTTTAAGTAAGACACAACTTTTCTTACGTTTTATAAGAAAAAAACAAAGTAATGTTTCATTTCGACGATCACGTTCCTCCTCGGTTTAGCTATCAGTTTACAGTTAGCTAGTTAGGTTTCGTCTGTTCATTGTTTTAAGACATGTTAAACAAATTGTTTAGATCTCAAGTACACAAAAACCTCACGGCAAAGTTAATATTTCTAGCTTACCTTAGCTACTTAGCACTTTACGGTGAAATAACATGAGTCCCTGTAGTGTTTGTACAGTTGTGAGTCAACATTTGTGTCGGACAGAACAATAGAAACAAGCCTTCCTTCAAACTTACCACTACAGCGGTCACCGGTTGACCTGGGACGAAAGACATCGTCTAAACAGAAAAATTAAGGCTAAAAAGCAGCTAAAGTGAAGCAGCTGAGACCGACAGAGAGGGAGAAAAGTGCTGTCTGCGGTGATAAAACCTCTCCCAACCCCTCTTCGACATGGGTTTTCCGCAGGCTGACCCCGGGCTGAAACCAGCCGCTTCAGAGATGATGTAACCTGGCTTCCCTGTGTGGGGGGGAAAGGTGCGCGTGTTTTGTTTTATGGTGGCAGCCAGTGAGGGCGGTGCTGCTAATAGGCTGGAACACATGAAAGGTTTTTCTGCATTGATATTGTGTTTTTTCCTGTTAGAGACATTTTCTTGAAAGAAAGAAAGAAAGAAAGAAAGAAAGAAAGAAAG